TCGAATATCATTATTGTTTATATGTTGTACCCATGTAAAAATAAATCATGAAATTTTCGATTAATTTTGATTTTTTGTAAAAAAATCACAAAAAATCGATTAAATACGACATTCTTCGATTAATTTTGAGAAAATAATTGATTTTAATCGATTTTCTTTGACTAAATCGATTTCAATCGATTTTATCTCCAGAAATTCAAATAAGCGATTAGAAATCTAATAGATTTTAATCGGTTTTTTATGGCAATAACTTTCATCGATTAAAATCCATTTTTTTCCAAGAAATTCAAATAATCGATTAGAAATCTAATAGATTTTAATAGATTTTTCATGATGATAACTTTAATCGATTAAAATCCATTTTGTTCTAAGAAATTGAAATAATTCATTAGAAATCTAATAGATTTTAATCGATTTTTTATGGCAATAACTTTAATCGATTAAAATCGATTATTTTCCATGAAATTCAAATAATCGATTAGAAATATAATAGATTTTAATCGATTTTTTATGATGATAAGTTTAATCCATTAAAATCGATTTTTTTCTAAGAAATTGAAATAATTAATTAGAAATCTAATAGATTTTAATCGATATTTTATGATGATAATTTTAATCGATTAAAATCGATTTTTTTCCCAAGAAATTCAAATAATCGATTAGAAATCTAATAGATTTTAATAGATTTTTTATGATCATAAGTGTAATCGATTAAAATCGATTTTTTTCCAAGAAATTGAAATAATTGATTGGAAATCTAATAGATTTTAATCGATTTTTTATGATGATAAGTTTAATCGATTAAAATCGATTTTTGTCCAAGAAATTCAAATAATTGATCAGAAATCTAATAGATTTTAATCGATTTTTCATGATGATAACTTTAATCGATTAAAGTTGATTTTTTTCTAAGAAATTCAAATAATTGATTAGAAATCTAATCGATTTTAATCGGTTTTTTATGGCAATAACTTTCATCGATTAAATAAAATATAGGCCGATATAAGGCGATTTCGATCGGTCAGATAGGTTTCGACCGGTCAGACCGGTTTGGACCGATAAATACCGGTCGATAAAAATCCAGATCGGTACCGGTTCCATCTTTGCTATGTGCTATAGAGTGATGAGCAGTATATGGGTCCTTATGACATTAAGGCTCAATGAAAATTAGACTTCCTATGTACCATTCGATGCGCCTTTAAATTCTCTACAAAACCATATACAAGACATTTTTGTTCTGACTAGGTGACAAAAACCGACAGGGTCCTTTAATAGATTTTAATCAATTTTTTATGAAGATAACTGTAATCGATTAAAAGCGATTTTATTTCAAGAAATGCAAATAATCGATTAGAAATTTAATAGATTTTTTATAAAGATAACTTTAATCGATTAAAGTCGATTATAGTTCTATGGATATGATTGTTTTTCATATGTAAAATTGATTAAAATCCATTACAGCTGCATGAATGGTAATATCTTCCGATAGAGAAAATCGATTAAAATCGATTATATTTTTGTGAATGCTGATTTTTTATAGAAAAAAATTGATTATAATCAATTATATTTTTTGTAATCGATTTTAATCGATTTTTGAATGTAATTGCGCAATTTCGAAGAAAACAACTTAAATAGGACTTCCAAACATACTTTGAATGCCGAAGTTTGGTGCATTGGCAACTTCTTAGTTTCTTAATACGAGAAATAAGAAGAAGTGGTCGAAAAATATGGGTTTTGTGTTCGAATCTCGAGTAAGTCACAAATTTTCGTGGTTTCATAAGAAAATCGATTAAAATCGATTATCTGAACAAAATCGATTAAAATCAGTTAGTAAGTAATAATAGATTAAAATCAATTAGTAAGTAATAATAGATTAAAACGGATTAACAAATGATGAGGGATTAAAATCGATTAATAGGTGATGAGAGATTAAAATCGACTAACAGGTAATGAGAGATTTAAATGGATGATTCAGTTGAAGTAATGCACGCAGATAAAAAGTGAAGTGTCATATGAGCACAGTTAATAGACGCGAAGAAATTAACGATGATTATAATCGGACGATTTCCATCAAATTAAAAATCGAAAGAAAATTGATTTTAATGGATTATTCTGTAGAAAATCGATTAAAATCTTTTTTTTCTTGATTAAAAATCGATTAAAATGAGACGATTTTCATCGGATTTTAATCAAATTAAAAATCAAAAAACAACTGATTTTAATCGATTTTTTACAGAATAATCCATTAAAATCAATTTTGTTTTGATTTTTAATTTGATTAAAATCCGATGAAAATCGTCTCATTTTAATCGATTTTTAATCAAAAAAAATTGATTAAAATCTTGATTTTTTACGACTTTTTTTTACATGGGTAAACAAATCATTTCTTTTTTTTTTTTTTGTCTCAATCGAATCAAAACCAGATTTATTCAATAAAATGAAAAATAAATTCATCAAAAAAAAGAATACTATATTTAACGAGAAGTTATGAACTCGATCGTTTAACTTTAGGAATTATTATTTATAAGAAACGATTTCGAAAAGTCTAATCGTTTTTCGTTTGAAATTATTCTCATTTGATCGTTTTATCATGACTAATAAAAAATTATATTTCGGTTTCGTTTTCAACTTTTCACTTGTTGAGATATGGCTACTTTATTCAATTTCGTTGAGAATCTGAATTAATCGAATTTTAATATCCTGAAAAAGAAATATTCTTTTAAACTGAAGTTTTTAGGCCATTCTATTGATAAATAAATCTATCTATATGCAAAATCACAAATTGAAATATCGTTATTCAATTATGCACAAAGTTGAAATTGGAAAGTCTCAAAATAAAAGCAATTAGACATTTAAAAATATTTCTTTGTTCAAGAGTATCTTTTATTTTTATATTCTTCTGATTAAAAATAATAAAACAGCTAAGTGACTTTTTTGAATAAACATATGTATTATTACATTGAAGTTGATAAGATTATTCTATCGTTTGCATTTTAAAATATAAGTTTTAAACAAACTTTTGATAAGAAATTGAACAAAAAGGAAAATAATCTAAGCTGATTCGAATTAAAATTCTAAAAATATTATGTTATATAGAAATTAAAAATTAATATGAATGATCAAAGAATTTCACTTCTTATGATGATTTTCTTTGTTATTTACTGTAAAATATCTTTATTAAAGATTATATAAATGCTAACAAATATATGTAATTAAAATATCCCGACAAAAGGAAAAAAAAAAACATATTAATTTATTCTTTTCAAAATCTTCTACTTTCATATCTTGTGTTTTTTCTGATCTTTATTCTATAAATATAGATAATAATGATAGGACAACTTATCTTTTTACTCCATATGTAGGTGTTTTAATTCATATACAAATTTAATATTAAAGAAAATATAGAGATCCATTTATCTAAATTTATATTTATTATTAATATTAGTTATTTGTATTAAATTGAACATAGAATAATTAAATTTTCTTGATATTAAAACTCATTATTTAATGGAATGTTTAAAAGACAATATCTATTTATTATATTGAAATATTCATCAAATCTTTATAAGTAGAATAGAACTTTAAATCATATATGACTGTTTTATCAAAAAAAAACAAACATTATTTAAATTTCATAATTAGAAAATAAATCTTATATGAAATGGTGAGAACTCGAACTTTCGATCATTCAATTGATCTTGTCAAAAGAAGAAAAAAAAAATTTTTGTTCTTAAGTTTAACTATATGAATTATTCTATAGATATTTTTCATCTGAAATAATATTTATCAAATGATTAGGAATATTATCCGATAATACTGCAAACAGCTAAAAGCATTTTTCTCCAGTACATTTATTTTGCTTACAGATCGAGTTTGTTTTTGATTGTACATAACAAAATAGAACTTAATATATTATTCATGAATCGAATATTCGAATCAGTGTTAAATGATTTCTTTGATAAGGACATCAATAAACGTAGTTTTTTTAGTTTAGAAAACAGATAACTTCACAATCAATTGATATCAATCTGTTGTCATTATTTTTTTTTATCGTTGACTAAATGTCTGATATTCTAACTTTAGAAGTTCTCATAGATGAGTAACTATCGAGTTTTTTATTTGGAAACAGCACGTCCATCTATAAAAAAAACCTACTCTTTTTCTAGAAATGACACTGTTGGATATAAAAAGATTTTATTCTTTTATTAAAAAAAAAAATTCTAAAGATGAACTGTGAGAAGTATAGTCATTGTTAGTATATGTATTTGAATTAAATATAATGTTAACAGTTTGATATTAATTAATTCTAAAGCAAATAATAGAAAAGGATCAAGGTTAATTTTTAATACTAATGTCTATTTGACACAGTTACTATAATGTCGATTATTAACTTCCTATTATCATAGTTTTCGTTATTTATTAATTAATGACAATTTTATTTTTTTTTGTTAACATATTCGTTATGATATCAATTTGACTTTTCTATAAGATAATTGTCATATTTCAATATAGTTTTTATCAACTATAATATCTCTTCATCAGTGATAAAAGAATTAACCTCTTTCATCAAAATATAGCAGAGATATTCAATTTTTTCTATGGTCAAGAAAGTTTTGAATCATTCTATAGTGGATTCCATTGCGTTGAAATATGTTAATTTAATATCCATCATCGATATCGATATATTTTCTCTTATAAAAGGAAAAAAAGCCAAAGGTATTTCTTGAAAATAAATATAAATAAAGTTATGAAAACCATATCAGAAAAACACGCATAACTGATCAAAATCCTTTTGTTTTTCATTAAACTGAATAATAATCATATCTTATCTGTTTGATTGAACATAAATATATATATATATAAAAAGAGAAAGATTTTTCGCTTGAATTTTTTTCGTTATTTATTTGACATTAAAATTAATTGAAAGAGATAATCAATTAAGATAGATCGAGCAAAAAAAAGAAGTAAAACCAAATTGCAGTTCACATTATTTTTATTTTCTAATAGAATAGTTTAGATAAAGCATCAACTGAATTTGATGATGATACTGATGGACGTAATGAACGTTTGTCAAGTGCCCAACTACATACTTTCCATAAACATTCTACAATTATTAATCATAAATAAATAAATAAATCAATAAATAAAACATACGTCGTCCTCGTTTTTGTAAATTTCGTGTATGACCATCTGTTTGATCAAATAAAACATCAGTAGATGAAACTATTCCTGGATTTGCTTCATTTAATAATTCATTTTGTAAAAGTTTTGAAAGTAATTCATCATTTGATTCACTTTCAGATTCAAACCAAAATGGTCTCTATCAAAAACAAAACAATTATTATTTATATTAGATAAATAAGAAAAAAAAAAAAGGCCTTCTAGAAAATATTTACTTGAATATGATTTATTGTATAAGAATTAATAAGAAATATTTGTGAACAAATAAATATTAGAATTAATTGGACTTTTAACATTATTATATTATTGTTCAAATTAATTATGAATTAAATATCAATACTACAATAGAATATATATAATTGAAAATTTTCTTTTTTTTTTGCTTTTTATATTTTAATTTTTTTTTTTCTAATAAATATATATATATATATATGGATGTAATAGGGAGAAAATCGAAGACTAACAACTTACCCAACCTAAGACAAAATGCATATTATATAGATAATAACATGGATAGAAATCCTTTTATATATATATATATATACATAATGAAGCAAATTAAGTGAATACTCTCATGACTTTGAATTCTCTTCGATGCAAATTACAGATGAACAAACTTTTTGTAGGCAAAAAAAAAGGAAAAGATAATAACATGTCTATATTGCCCCCACATTTTTCTCACTCCATTTATTTATCGGTTTCAATCTTTATAGTAAAAAAGAATGTGAGGCGTAAAAAAAATAGACAATAAACATCACGAACTCAATTTTGTTTGTTTGTTTATTTTCTTCTAATATAAATATTTGACATAAATGAATTAAATAAAATAGAAAAGAAAAATTTGTATTATGATTAAACTTACACTAATGTTCGATTACTGACGAAATGTTTCTGTTTTTTTTTTCTGATGTTTCCTTTTATCTTTTTCTTGTTCTTCTTTTTCTTATTCATATGGATGATGATTGAACGATGTCAAATCAACTCAAGTATGCACCATTATTGTATGAAATGCAATTGTATTCTACTTGAAAATTAAACCTTGAATGAAACAAAACAAATTGTAAAAAGAAAAAAAAAAAAAAACGACATATTACATCACAAATTATCATTTGACAATTAAATATAATATAAAGATATATCATCTTATGAAATAATTATTAATAAATAACGACAATTAATTGCTTTGTTTCGTTTACTTCTGTTTTTTTTTATGTAACAAAACTATTTGTTTCTTTTCATATTATTTAAATTGTTTTTTAAACCCGAAAAAAAAAAAATTTGTATAGTTGTTGTTTAGTTTATTAAAAAAAAAAATTTAGGTAATATGAATATATTTCATTTTTATTCCGGATAATAATAATATTCGATAATATCTTCAAGGAAATTTATTTAATAATAGATCTACAATGACAATGAGATCTTTTCAAAAGAGAGTCAGCAGTACTCGTTTTTCTTTTTTATATTAAAATAAGAAAATGCCGGAATTAATCTTGTTCAAGGAAAGAAGATTTCTATGCTAAAATTAAAATGAATTTATCATAGTAGTCTTCTTTCAGTTTTATATTTTTCTCTAAATAAATCATTATAATTATATTAGTCTAGGATTTTATTTGAAATCATTAAATATGCGTGTAAATAGTATTTAATGTTGTTTTGGAGACGATTGAAATTCAGTAGAAACTATTTATGATCTTTTCTATTAACATAAAGACATTCATTTATGTAGATGAGAGAGTAGTGTGGATGGCGTGATTCGTAGATCTTGGATAATCATTAACCTTTCTGCAACTGTTTTATTGATTGACAAACAAATGTGTACTAATGTTAAGTTCATAATATAGAATACAAATAGTAAAGAGAACGAAGAAAAAAAACAATGATAAAAATAAAATTTGATAAGAGATAAAGGCATTTATTGTTTATTATGAACTAACATTAATATTTTACATATTACAAAATGATATTTATATTTAAAAAAAAATTATTATAATTCATTTATGTGAATCTTTTGGATACACAGTGATTTTCGATAAAGAGATTAAACTTTTGCAAAATAAAAAGTCTTAATGTTATCTGATAGAAAATTTAATTTGAATATGTTCTTGTTGAGTTAATTTCAATAAATAAGAAAAAAAAAAAAACATATTTGAGAAATTAATTTTTTTGCTAGTTCTTGTATAATCCATCTTTATTTTATAATTGATACTATTTTAATAGATAAGAACTTCGACGAGAAATATTCTATTTTAAGAACAATAATACAGGAAGTATTATTTTAGAAAAATCCTTTTTATTTCGATTTTATATCTTTGTTAACAACTAAATTGTTTTCAAATCTTATTTCTCACATGATAATTATTGTCAATATTTGTTTTTTTAAATCTTTGATCAAAAGTATGAGAATTAAGTCGTTTTTTCGGTTCATTCCATCGATCTATATTAGCTAGAGAATCCAAAATGGTGTCAGTTATGAGATAAAAACGAATTATAGATAGAGCTTCAAAGATTTATTAGTAGTAAAAAAAATTTTTCAAAATTAATTTAAATTTAAATAATTCGAATCTAAATAGAAAACATTGTTTATAATAAATACTGTAATAATTTCATCGATAAGTATAATTGAAACAAGACTTATATTTTTATCCTAACAAGAAAAGATAAAGAAAAAAAAATTATCGATTATACTTCTAAGAAGATCATACACGATAGTTTATAATAATGAGGCTAGATTTATATGAAAATCCGCAGACGATGTACGTATTGATCTTTCGGAAAATTTTCAAGAAATATTATTTATTTAAAAAATTAATTAGATTTATTCATTTATCAATTATTATGAAATATCCTTAATAAAAAAAAAAAATTCATCTTTTAAAAATCTTGTATACTGATGTTTATTTAAAAATATAGAAACAAAAAAAAAGAAAAATCTTAATTATCTGTAATATGTTGTAATGTTTTTAATAAAATTTGTCTAACTGATTTAGCTAATGATTGTACTTCAGTATTTGTATCTTTAATAATAATATAATCTAACCATTGTTTTAATTCAATAAAATAATATTGTAAATATTCATCATAACATATATTACCAATTGAAACAATTGTACATGCATATGCATATATAATAGCATGTCGTACACCAGCATTTTGATGTTGTTGTAAACTTTTTAATAAATCTAATAATTGTTTAATCATATTATTTAATGATAATGTATTTTGTGCATAAATACATAAACGACCTAAACAAGATAAAAGTTCACATAATAATAAATAATCTTGATCACCATCAATTAATGATAAATATATTTGTTTTTTATCAATATATGATATTAATGGATAATAAAAATATCCAACTAGATTTCCAAAATTATTTTCTTGAAAAATTTTTTTTTTTGTTTTTAAATTATTTTTTATTTTATATTTTGTTTTTAATTTTAAACGTTTATTTATAATTGAATGCCATGAATCATTATCATTATCATCATCATCATCATCATCGGATATAAATAATTGATCTTGAATTTTCGTTTGAATTTGATTAATTTGTGATAATTTTTTAGCTGTTTCTTGAATTATTTTAAGTATAAGACTTCGTTGATGAATAGTATAATTTTTTTCATAAAATTCTTTACATAAATAATCACTTATTAATAATGGATAATTTTCACATAATATTATTAAATTATTTAAACGTAATTTTTCAAAATTTTCAATATTAAATGTACTATTATAATTTAATAATATACGAACTAATTCTAAAGCAACTTCTTCACATTCAATTTTATATAATTCAATTAATGTTGGTAACATATTTAATGCTGATTCTAATCTATCAATTTTATCTGTTGATATTAAATCAGCAAGACATGTTCGAATATATTTTGGTTTTTCAACATCTAACTTAATTGTATCATGAGAATAATCATATGATTCAAATTCATCATCATCATCATCATCATCATCAATTGATGCATCATGAAGAACAATTCGATTTGTTGTACATATTGGTTTTTCAATTATAGATACAATCGGTTCTATAAAATGAAAAATTATTTTAATAGACTATCTATTGATTATTGTTAAATAGAATATTATGAAGGCTAGTCTATATTATTATAAAAAGAAAAGTGAATTTCATAACAATTTTTATTTTGTTAAAATGAAAATTATCTTTAAAATAAATTAGAAAGAAAAATCAATTGAATATCTGTAAAACAACAGTTTTCATCATGATAAAAGTGATGAAAATAATCTTCTATAGTCTAATATTATATTACATACGGGGGATCAAAAAGTTCTGAGAATTTTAAAAAGAATCGTGCCGGATTTCGTGATCTATTCAGAATTAAAAAATAAAACATGCCATGTTGTAGAGGAAGTCGAGGCGCATCGAATGGTATATCAAAAATCTTGTTGTCATAAGATTTTGAGAGAACTAGACAGGATTTACTGGTAGGCGATCATCAAGTGAAATCACTAACCATTGTGGGCCTTGATATCAGTTGAAAGTGTTTCTAAAAATAATTTTTCTATATACAGTTTTGTAGCACTTTTCACGGGCTACCAACTCATATAGTCAGCATATCTGATCGTTCTATTTTTGATACGGAAAAAGGCGCCTTTTCCATGATCCACCATCGTTTTCCACGGATAATGACTGTTAGTGAGTCTTTTAATCCACGGGCATCTACCAGTAAATCTAGTCTGGTTTCCTCAAAATCTGGTGAAAACAAGATTTGTGATATACCATTCGACGCGCCTTGACTTGCTCTACAACATAGTGTGTTTGCTTTTTTTTTATTATGGATAGGTTAACAAACCTGGCATGCTTCTTTTTAAAATTCTCACAAACTTTTTGATCCCCCCTTAGTATATAATGATAAATGTTTCCTCCTATAGAAAATGAGTTTAATAGAATCGAGCATGAACATCAACATATTTTTAACGAGTGATACTTAGAAATAAAGTTTTTTATTTTATAAAATTCTTTTGAGAAGTCGATAGAATTCTGTTAAATTCAAAAGTTTTTAAAAATGAATCTCATTCGAAATATTGTTATCTAATTTAAACAAAATGTTAGGTTCTATCTAAAACACGACCATTGTCTTAAAAATATGGTTGACAGTTTTTTTTTTAAAATTAAATAAATCTTTTACTTAGTTCTTATAGAACATGACAAAAAATAATTTTTCGTTAATAATTGGAAATATAATTAATTAAATTGATGCAAACAAAATCTCGAGTGAAGATATCTAGTTAGATAAAATATTAAGTAAAATCCACATGAGAGAGTTTTCTCAGATGATAAAAATATTCTTCATTGGACAAGTACATTCATGTCTAGACTTGAAAATGTCTGACAGGATATTCTCACTATTATGAAAATGACCTCAACTGACATTTTTTTTTTCATAAAAATGTCCTAATGCGATGAACATTTCTAAGTGTCAAGTCTATCTCGGATAGAAATTATTGCATCATCTAGGTTCTTATCAACTATGAATACTTTGAAAAGAGTTTGTTCTCATAGTTTATTAATGACAAAATATCGTGACTTTTCTCTTAGGTAGAACTAGTCTGATATTTTTCTGTTAACCAAGTTCGAAAATATACTGCAGAAAAATTATAGTGATATTTTCAATTGGCGTCAGTATCTTCTTAGTCTATATATTTCATAGTGATGAACAAAATTAGAACTGAAAAATTTATGTAAAGATTTTTTCATAAGAGAAAAATGTGGCCTAACCTTTTTTCATGATGGTTTCTTCATCATCATCATCATCATCCGATAATTGTCTATCATTTAATGTTTGATCTATTTCTGCTAATTTTGTTAACATGAGTACTTCTGAATGATTTTTATCATATGTATCAAATATAAGTTGATTTGATGATGAAAATAAATGAATATATTTAATAATTAATTCACCAATAAGTTGACCACGTCGTCTAATATAATCAAATGTTGATTCAAGATGTAAACGAATACCATTTAAAACACACATTATTATTGTATCTTTATCATTATTTAATTGTATTTGTTGATTAAATGATAAACATATTGATATACATTGACATATATATAAATGTTGATTATTTGATGAAAATCTAATAAAATTTTCTTGTGACCATATTTGTAAAAAACGTTTAAATACATATTGAAAACATTTTTCTATTCGATTATTTGACATAGTTAAATAAATAAGTATTGTTCGTACAATATCAATTGATAATTGTTTACGAAAAAGTAATGTATCAATTAAATATTTTTCTAATAATGGTAAATGAATAATACGATCACTAAAAAATAAATCAAGAATTTTACTATTTCCATGTTCAATTGTATATAATATAATATCATCAATTGTTTCAAATAGAAAATATTGAGCTAATCGTAACCAAAGTGAATCATTTGAACATTTTTTTATAAATAAATTTTTATATAATGGACGCCATATATATTTAGTATAACCTAAAATTATATATTTTATTATTCTAATAAGTCATACTTCTGATTTCTAATATAAAGTATTGCGACAAAAATTTATGATAGATATCAATCTACTACGCTTTTCATCAGTTAGAAAAGATAATTCTGAATGTCGTTGTTTTTGTTTTATTTGATATTATATAAGAATTTTAGTTTTTCAATATGCTTTTATAGAAGAGACTTAACATTTATGATTTAAGGCGCAATTCAGCTGATTTTATGTCAAATATAACTACGTATCTATTTAGTCAAATTTTGTTGATTTTTTTTTGTTCTCGAAATTTATTTGTAATAGAATGTACTTTTTAGAAAGATACAAAGTTTATAAATAATATTGTCTTATAACATATGAAACAAAAACACATCAGGAATTCTTCTATTTCAATTGTATAAAACCCCATAGGTAGCTAATTATAGACGTTATCATCTTATTAAGATAAGATAAGTCTCTTTTTAATTGAGTCATACTTATTGAAATTTAAAATGACCCTGAGAAGACTTTTGAAATGAACACGATTCTTTTTATATTCAACTTATAATAAAAGAGAATCACATTTATTGAATGTTATCTTATCAAGTATTATTTAAATTCAAGGTTATTTTTTTTAATTAATCGTCGAAACTTAAATTCTGTTTTTTTTTTCTAACGAAATCATAGAATTGTTTAATATTTTTATATAGAAAAGTTATACTGATGGTTCTTTCAAAAGACAAAAGATGAAGATCGTCGTCATTATTATCTATTATTACAACTGGAAAGGAAAAACTTCACAAATCTCAAGTCGTACATTTAGACAAGATCGGTGACCTTCTAATTTACCATACTTTAATTGATTAGGTTACTTTATATGGGATCATGTCAATAAGAACATTATTTATCAATGAAATTTTTTTATAATCACAAAACAATTGACTTTTTACTAAAATAAAAATTACTACAGTTGAACAACATAATGACAATCATATTTCTCATTAGCATTCATCATTTTCATTCTCTGGATATATCTCTGAATTTGATTTTCATTTCTTCGATATTTACAAAGATTAGAAAAGGCTTGAACTATCCAGATTGCTATTTTTCATGACATCAATAAAATTTCCAAACAATACCAATATGTAGAGCATAAGTCAACAAAAAAACTAAATTTATACGATTTTATTTTTACGGTTAAACATTATTTTAAGCTCTAAAAATATTTTTAGTTCATGTTCTCTTTCCTCTAACTTACCTAGATTTAGTCCGACATCCTGAAGAGATTAAACAAGCCTAATCTGTGAAAGGAACTAATCGATAAAAAATATGAAAATGATAGTAACTTGACCGAAATATAATTTCAATTAATATCTCTGTTGTATAATGATAATAACGGAAAAGTTCAAAAGTGTGATTAATCTTATTAAATAATCGCTATTATCTATCAGAAGAGTTTTCGAAACTTTTACAGATGACTACAGCTATCAATCTCATATCTTAGTTAGTCATCTATCTGTTGAATTGCAAATTTGATCGACAAGATAGAAGATAAATTTTCTGTTCTATCGTCAAAGAAATACATAATATTTAAATAATGATTAGGGGTCGACAAGCTCAGCTCAGTTCCTCTGAGCGGAACTGAGCTGAGCTTGTCGGCCCCTAATAATGACTAATAAAATAAAATAAAAAATACCTAATTTAGCTGCCCGATGAACAAGTTGACAAATAAATTTGATATTTGTATCAATTTGTGCAACCATATTTGGATAATGATATGTAATTAATTGTTCTTGTATATATTGACTTAAACGATGAAAAAAATTTTTCGATTGAAAACATATTGGAATATTATTCATATAAATATTAGTAATTCGATCAGGTAAATGAATAATATATGTTAGATCAAATTCTTGTTCAAGTTCATTTAATAATTTTAAGTAATTCTTTTCATATAAATCAATTAATAGAAATGTTAAATAATCATTTAATGAAATTTTTAATTGATTTAATAATAAATCAATTAATTGTTTTTGTTTTAATAAAAAAGATGTTTGAATAAAATATTTATGAAAATTAATTTTAATTTGTTTTATTTGTTCAGGTGTTTGATTAAACCAATCAGATAATTTTCTTAAACATAAACGAATTAATTTTTCTTGTTCAATTGTTGTTAATGGAGAATTTTTATTACAAAAATATTCTTCAATTATATTTTCAATAGAGAAATACGAATTTGATGATGAGATTTGTTTTAATAGAATATTTAATCTTTCAAATGACATTTTTATTTTCAAGTAAAAAAAAACCTGAAAAAAAAAAAAGAAAACAAAAGATCAAATATATCATAGACAAACAAATACAAGTACAAAGTTTTTTTTTTTTTTTAATAATATTTATTTATAAAGAAGAATCAAATTTTATCAGATAGATTTGTTGTTAATGTAGGTTGAATACTACTAGAATTTTTTGTATTTAAATTAACATAAAGTGGAATTAATCGTGGTGGAGGATATTCAGCTCGACCATCAAATTCTGGTGCTCGTTTTTCTTGTTGTTTTCGATTCCACATATCTCGTAATGAATTAGCTAAGAAAAAA